TCCTCACTCCAGGCTCTGTGATCCTCCTTTGGAAGAGCAGCTTTGAAGCCTGACCCTGCAGACTGTGAGGAGGGAACCAGCTCAGTGTTGCATGCTGTGAAGAGTGATGGTGTCTGACAAAGAGAGAGGGATCACTCTTCTTTTAGTCTTAGAGGAACATCTCATAGAGTGGAGCAACACCCAGCTGGGAACCACATCCTGCTGTGCCCAGACAGGGACAGCATAAGGCTTTGGTGGAATCCCACTGTGAGCCAGCACCATGGGTAGCAGCATGAGCAAAGGCAACAGGGCTTGGATGTGCTCTGGGAGAAGGGAAGGGGCTGGAGTAGCAGGGATTGTGCACTGGGATCTTGGGCTCTGTTACATGGTAGGTGTTGAAGGATCTGCATCCAGACCAGAACTGACACTGTGTTGGCAGATGTTTAGTGCAGCCCTTGTAATTGAGATCTTGATGGTGACATCCTCACCATACTGGAAAGCTCTGCTCCTCAGGAGAACAGCAGGCAGTGTCCTGATTCTCAGTCTGACAGGCCTGGAGTAAGGTCTGATGAATGTGATGGGAAGGCAGGAGTGCAATGAGAGGCTTTGGTTCAGGGGGGTGAATAGGAGAAAGAATAGGGTAGGTCCATGTGTGAGCCAGGAGAGGTGGAAAAGGACTGAATCAGGCTAACAATGTGCAGAATTAGGGCAGTCAGCCTGAGAGGGAAAAGCTCAAAAAGCAGCAAACCTCAATAATTTCATTCTGTTTCAGCAAAGAGTCTGGATGCCCTGATTAAAATCTGATCCTTGGGCAATGGAAATGGGAAAGGACTAAAACTGTGCTCCCACTGAGATCTGTGCCTGGGTTTTGTACTAAATAGTACAAAGGGCTAAAATCCTTCCTAAAACCTTGTTGATAATTGCTCTTTTCCCACCGTAGATGTCCTATCCCCCCTTGAAACGCCGCACAGGGTGGACTGGGCAGCTCCATGTGGTTCCAGAGCCCAAACCCTCGACTCCTGTGTCTCCTCCCCACCTGCCCTTGCTGCCGTGGCAGCATCCCCTCAACTCTCCAGGCAGTGGGGGACCTGGTGCCCTTGGCCACATGCCCCATCCACCACTGCCAAGGAGACCTGCAAGTGCCCAGGACAGGAGTATGGCCAGCACTGCCTCCCTGGACACCTTCAACAGGACCTCCATGGTGAGACCAGGTATGCCATGATGTCAAACCAAGTTTGTAGCCTGATGTCCTCACACAGCAACTTGGCATTGAGTGGAGTTGATTTGAGCATTGAGCAACCAGGTGTGAGTCCTTGTCCAGCAGATCTAATCGGAGACCGTGGGTGGTCCTGGTTGGCATTTAGGTCAGGAAAGAAATGAGCTGTGACATCCCAAGGGGAATGCTGCTTGCTGCCCTTGCAGAGGGATGTTTCCTCTTCCTTTTTCCTTGTGTGTGACCCAGAAGAGGGATGACTGATTTTAAGGGTGCTGACTGACTGTATCTGCACTGGTGACTCATGTGCCTATTCCTGTCTCCTGTTTGAAGTGCTGTTTTTTCCTCCTTTGAAGTGGCTGCTTTGAGTGCAGGAACTTTAAACTAGATCCATAGCTGATAAGACTCTGAAAATAAAGTATGGGATAGCAGCAGGGCAGAGGTGAGGGTTTGGGGGAATAGTACAGCTGGAGAATGCAACTTTTGCCAAGGATGCTGTTGCCTGATACACGATGCTGTGCTTTTCCTGGTGTGGGGTTGGGTTTTTTGAGCAGTCATAAGCAGCACAAAGTCAATACTGAGGTGCCAAAGGGCAGAGCAGAGGCAGCACTGTGCACTCCCAGCAGCTGTGCTGAACTGAGAACCACAACAGAGCAAAGGGAGGGACACACCCCCCAGGTTAGCACGTACTCACATACTCTGATTGTTGGGGAACAGAACCAAAAGGATCCCCATGTCCTCATGGCAGCAAGCAGAGCTGTTCCCATGTGGGGATCCATCCCAGCACAGCTTTCTTTGGGGCTGGGCAGGGCTGGAAAATTGGAGGAACATTTCTCTGCTGTGTCTCTGCTGCTTTGAGGCTGTTTTGGTTCCCAGAGGTGAATTACTCCCCTCTGTTGTGCAGACTGTTTGCAGCCACTGTAGGTGTCATTTTAGTGCCAGATAGGTGATTTCTCTGCTGGTTGTAAACCAAGTTCATGCCCTGAATAGCAGCTGCTGCTTTAGAGTAGTTTAGAGATAAGGAAGAGGGATGCTGCAGAGAGCATTTCTGCTGCTGCAACCATCTCTCATGCTGATATTTGCTTTCTTTCAGCCTCAAACAGCTTCTCAGGCAACGGTACAAGCACTGTGGGGGGAGCCACATCCCTGGGAATTGATAACATGGATCTCCTCCTGCAGGAGAAGGTGATGCTGGGGAGGGAGGAATGCCATCCCTGTCCTGGTTATTGGCAGAGCAGCTGAACCCTGCCAAATGGCTCTGTGTCCTCCTGGGGAATCCCAGCACCAAAGGGGTCTGCTCCTGCAGATGGGGACAGTGGCTGAAGGAAACCAGGGTGAGAAGGTCCCATGCTGATGGCCACGAGTTGGTACCCCTGGGGCAGGTGGCCCAGAGGCTCTGTAGCTGCAGACTGACCAATGGTACCTGCAATCTGCCTGCAGGATGAGAAGCTTCTGCGACTGGAAAAGGAAATGAGTCACCTCTCTGGTTTGGAAACAGCAGCAAAGCGCAAAGACATGGTGATAAGGCTTCTGCAGGAGGAGATCACAGCCATGGCAAAGACCCTGGCCCAGGCAGCAGCGAGGAACGAGGTGGAACTGACCCAGAAGCTGCTCACCTTCAACCAAGAGCTGGGAGCCAAAACAGAGGAGATCAAAAGCCTGAGGGAACAGGTACCAGCTGCTTCCATAGGCACTGAGCAGGGAAAAAACCTCTCTGATGCACATGTGCTTGTAGTGCATCACACAGGCTTTGGGAGGAGAGGGTGGTGTCTGAAATCAAGGGAAAAGAGGGAGATGGGTTCTTCCCTTCTTTTTTCCTCCCTTCCCCTCTTCCTCTCTTCTTCTCTTCCTTCCTTCCCCTCTTCCTCCCTTCCTTCTCTCTTCCTCCCTTCCCTCCTCTCTTCTCCTTTTCCTCTCCTCTTCCTTCCCCTCTTCCTCCCTTCCTTCCTCCCTTCCTTTCCTTCTTCCTCCTTCACTCCCTCTGGCATTAGGAGTTCACCAGCAACCGC